AAGGCAGTTAAGGATCCATTTCCATTTTCAGCATTAAGTTTAGCTGCTCTTTCTAATAATCTGGAATGCAAATAAAAGACATCACCTGGATAGGCTTCTCTGCCTGGTGGTCTTCTCAATAATAATGACATTTATCTATAAGCAACGGCTTATTTAGAAAGATCATCATAAATAATAAGAGCATGCATTCCATTATCTCTGAAATATTCTCCAATAGCACAACCAGAATATGGTGCTAAATATTAAAGTGGAGCAGCTTCTGAGGCTGTGGCTGCAACCACAATTGTGTATTTCATAGCACCAGCTTATGTAAGAATTTTGACTAAGTTAGCAACAGTTGATCTCTTTTAACCAATAGCAACGTAAATGCAATATAATTATTTATTCTTGTCACCAGAATCAAAATTTGGTTTTTAATTGATAATTGTATCAATAGCAATAGCAGTCTTTCCTGTTTATCTATCACCAATAATCAATTCTCTTTATCCTCTTCCAATTGGAACCAAACAATCAACAGCCTTTAATCCTGTTTACATTGGTTCATGGACACTCTTTCTTGGAATAATTCCTGGTGCTTTTAATTCAACTCTTCTTCTTGCATTTGTTTTGACTGGACCATGTCCATCAATTGGATTACCAAGTGCATCAAATACTCTTCCCAACATTTCCATTCCAATAGGGACATCAACAATTGCTCCTGTTCTTTTGACAATATCTCCTTCTTAGATATCTCTAGAATAAATGAATTAAAATGAATTACCTGTCATTACCCAACACGACAATACCAACATTATCTGTTTCCAAATTCAAGGCCATACCTCTTACTCCTGAACTGAATTCAACCATTTCTCCTGCTTAAACTTATGTCAATCCAAAAACTCTAGCAATACCATCACCAATAGAGATAACTGTACCATATTCTTTGATGTCATTCTAATTTATCACTATAATCCTTTACCAATTAGGAAATATTTTTAATTTTATCTTCTAATACACTGGATGCTTCTCCAATACCCAATTTCTTTGAGAATCCCATTGATGGTAAATACCAAAGTGATTTTCTCAATACGGATGTATATCCTCGTATCATAATTAATTTATTTAAATTAAATCTTCAAATCAGAACATAAATACTTAATATATTAACAACCTTTCTAATTGTCATTTACTCCTATTTCATTACCTAAAACCTTTAAATTAATTTATCAATTCCTATTCTATCTTAACTCAATCTTACCACTCGAAATTATCTAATTAGCTTTTAATAACTCCAAAAAAAAATAATTATACCATATAAATGTACTATTACTAATGATAAACTTCATACTCTAAGATTTTATAT